ACGTACCTGTGTGTATGTCCCCGTCTACCTGTGTACACGTACCTGTGTAACTGTACTTGTTCCTGTCACAGTTCTGCAGCAGGTGTGTCAGTCTGTCTCTCTCCTGCAGTAGCGCCTCCTTCAGGCCGCTCTCTCTGTGACCTCGGGGGTTCAGAGACTCGATCAGCTGATCCACCTCCTCCACTGAGGTGTAGAAGAACCATTGGTTGAGACGTTTCACTGGCGGCCCACAGGTGTGGAGGGGGGCAGGGCTTGAGCCAGCACTGTCCAGGAGAATGTGTTTTTTGTCATAATTAGAAACGTCTGAACACCTGTACTCCTAAAATTAAAAACAAACAGGACCAAAATAACCAACCTCCCCTCAGCGGGCTCTTCCTTGACCTCCTCCTTGTCCGTGGCATCCTGTGCAGCTGTGGGCCGTGGACGCAGCATGTCCTCCGTCAGGCCGAAGCAGTCGTCCTCTACGAACAGGGTGGAGGCTGAGGGGAGGAGCCAGTAGCGGCGGTACAGACGGTCTCGGCCCAGCGGCAGCAGGCAGGTGCAGGCCGCCGCCTTCTGGATCCGCTCCTGCAGCTCTTGAACCTGCGGCACGAAGAAGGAGACACTACGATCACTCCGAGTCTACGGAGTTAACAGTCCTCATTTATACATAAAAAAAACCATCATGTTCCTGACCTTCTCCTGCTCCTCCTGCTCCTCTGCACTCAGGACGCCGGGATGGCACGATGGGGGTTTAGGGTCAGAGGTCCTAGGGTTGTCTCTATGGTTGACTTTAGCTGGAGGGACAGGAGATACTCATGACTCAGCAGAAAGGATGAGACACTCATGACTCAGCAGAAAGGAGGAAGAGACAATCACGACTCAGCAGAAAGGAGGAGGAGACAATTACGACTCAGCAGAAAGGAGGAGGAGACAATTACGACTCAGCAGAAACAATCACGACTCAGCAAAAAGGAGGAAGAGACAATTACGACTCAGCAGAAACAATCACGACTCAGCAGAGAAAGGAGGAAGAGACAATCACGACTCAGCAGAGAAAGGAGGCGACACGCATGACTCAGCAGAGAAAGGAGGAGGTGACACGCATGACGCAGCAGAGAAAGGAGGAGGCGACACGCATGACGCAGCAGAAAGGAGGAGGCGACACGCATGACGCAGCAGAAAGGAGGAGGCGACACGCATGACGCAGCAGAAAGGACACGCATGACTCAGCAGAAAGGCGACACGCATGACTCAGCAGACAGGAGACACGCATGACTCAGCAGACAGGAGACGCGCATGACTCAGCAGACAGGAGACGCGCATGACTCAGCAGAAAGGAGACACGCATGACTCAGATGCGTATTTTTTACCCTCCATCTTCTTCTTGTTGTGTGAAGAGTTTTGCTCCTCGTCTTCCTCAGTGAGGTCTACAGGAGTCTCACTGCAGACACAGACAACATGTTCACAACTTTTCTAGTGACTGATGACGGAATCAAGGAGACACATGATGAGTCGTACCCGTTGGTGTTGAGTCCTCCCTTCACTTCCTGCTCCCTCAGTCTCTCCTTCTCCTTCAGCCTCATCTCCTGCTCCCTCAGCTTCTCCTCTTTACGGAGACGGACTCTGAAGAGGAGAAGACAATTAGAATGTTTTTAATTCATTGTTGTGTTCAAACCTATGTACATAGTGTATCTGTGTGTGTATATACCTGTGTGCATAGTGTATCTGTGTGTGTATATACCTATGTGCATAGTGTACCTGTGTGTGTACATAGTATACCTGTGTGTGTACCTGTGTGTACATAGTATACCTGTGTGTGTACATAGTGTACCTGTGTGCATAGTATACCTGTGTGTGTACATAGTGTACCTGTGTGTACATAGTGTACCTGTGTGTATATACCTGTGTGTACATAGTGTACCTGTGTGTATATAGCTGTGTGCATAGTGTACCTGTGTGTGTATATACCTGTGTGTACATAGTATACCTGTGTACATAGTGTACCTGTGTGTATATATACACCTGTGTACATAGTGTATCTGTGTGTGTACCTGTGTGTACATAGTATACCTGTGTGTACATATACCTGTGTGCATAGTGTATCTGTGTGTGTATATACCTGTGTGCATAGTGTACCCGTGTGTGTACATACCTGTATACATAGTGTACCTGTGTGTGTATATACATAGTGTACCTGTGTGCTGCCTCCTCTCTTTCTCTGCGGTGTTGTTCAGCTCTGATTTCTCTCAGTTCCTGTCTCGCTGATCTCTGATCCTCCACACAGTCTTCTATCAGGTCTCTGCTGGAGGCCAACGTCAGCAGCTTCCCCACCAGAGCCTGTAGGATCCTCAGCTTCTCCTCTAAACACGTCAATAACACGCCAATAACTCGCCAATAACTCGCCAATAACAAATCAATAACAAATCAATAACTAACCTGGCGTGAGGTCGTACACAGAGGTGCTTGTCAGTCTCTTCAGCAGCGCCGGCTCGGCCAATTGCAGCTCGACACACGGGTCGTCCATCGGTGTGAACCCGCCCTGCTTCTGGTAGCGGAACTTGGCATTGCCGTGATAACAGTCGGCGCCGGACGCCAAGATGTGCAGCCGGAGGATCTCTGAGAGGGTGCAGCTGTCCAGGTCTAACTGCTTCAGACCACAGCCCTGGTGCAGCTGAGACCACGAGGCAGCCAATGAGGCAACGGCACTGAGCGCAGACTGGGTCGCATCACAGTCATCGTCCAGAGCCTCCGACAGGTCTGCACATAGACAACAGCATGAAGTTCACACATGTTGTACACACTAGAATAAGCGCGCACACTAGAATGAGCGCGCACACTAGAATGTGTATGAATCAGACCTTCAGCCTGCTCTTTAGCTATGTCCTCCTGCTCTTCGTCCAGAGCCTGAAAGATGGCCGACAGAAAGAAGAACAGCAACTCACAGAGAGGACCCTCAGGATCAGAACCCACCAGAGCCTCCTCCAGAACCTCTGTGGAGAGACAGACAGGACAACACGCCGTCAGACAGACAGGACGCGACGGACCGTCAGACAGACAGACCGGACGGACCGTCAGACAGACAGACCGGACGGACCGTCAGACAGACAGGACGCGACAGACCGTCAGACAGACAGGACGCGACGGACCGTCAGACAGACAGACCGGACGGACCGTCAGACAGACAGACCGGACGGACCGTCAGACAGACAGGACGCGACAGACCGTCAGACAGACAGGACGGGAAGGACCGTCAGACAGACGCGACGGGAAGGACCGTCAGACAGACAGGACGGACCGTCAGACAGACAGGACGGACCGTCAGACAGACAGGACGCGACGGACCGTCAGACAGACAGGACGGGAAGGACCGTCAGACAGACAGGACGGGAAGGACCGTCAGACAGACGGGAAGGACCGTCAGACAGACCGCCAGACAGACGGGAAGGACCGTCAGACAGACCAGACGGGAAGGACCGTCACACAGACCGCCAGACAGACGGGAAGGACCGTCAAACACACCGGACGCGACGGACCGTCAAACAGACCGGATGCGACGGACCGTCAGACAGACCGGATGCGACGGACCGTCAGACAGACAGGATGGGATGGACTGTCAGACAGACAGGACGCGACGGACCATCAGACAGACCGGACGGGACGCACATCTGTTAGAACCTAGAAATCCACATTAATCTCCAACCATGGTGAATGAACTTATACAGAACATGTGTTGGGTTCCAGTTAAAAACACCAACACAGGACCCGAGTGGACCCTGTACAGACCCACAGGGTCCTGGTCTAGGTGTGGGGAGTTCTAACCTAGTGGACCCTGTAAGGACCCACAGGGTCCTGGTCTAGGTGTGGGGAGTTCTAACCCAGTGGACCCTGTAAGGACCCACAGGGTCCTGGTCTAGGTGTGAGGAGTTCTAACCCAGAGAGAGTCCATCGGGGAACTCGTCCTTCAGGTGAAAGATCTCTCCAAAGGCCCTCAGGAACTCCAGAACCATCAGAGCTTCACCAAAGAGCTGGGCCGGAAGACGGGTCCTCACTGGAACCGGACTGGGCAGATCCTGGTGGAACCAGCAAACACACACACACACACACACACACACACACAATGGATGAGTAGCCTGTCTCTCCACAGAGCAGGCAGACAGCTATACCACAGTATAGCAGAAGGTCAGTGAACGCACCACCACAGTGGCGCATTCACTGACCTTCAGGTCTTCACACTCCATGTCTTCTCGAGGTTTGTTCCACAGCTTCAGTCTCTCAGCGTATTTCTTCTTCTCCTCCTTCAGCTTCTCTCGTTCCTGAAAATCACCACGAAATTTATAATAATTATATTATTAATAATATTTATAAAATAATTATAATCATCATCTTTAACAATAATTATAGATATAATAAATATAATAATCTTTATTATAAGTCTAAAACTCACCCTGTCCTTCTCCAGCTTCCTGAGCTCCTTCTCCTCCCTCCTCTTCTGTTTCTCCTCCTCAAACCTCCTCCTCTGCTCCTCCTTTATCCTCTCCCTGTCCTCCTTCTCCCTCCTCTTGGCCTCCTGCATGTCCTCCTTTTCCTTCTTCATGCGTCCTGCTGTCATGTCCTCCTTCTGCTGCAGCAGCTTCAGCTTCTCCTCGGCCGCCGCTTTGATGAACGACGAGCTCGCCTGTAGACACATCGTATACTAATACTACATATCCATATACAGTAGATACTAAATATACATATACATCTATATATACATACATATATACATACATCTATATATACACATACATATATACATACATATACATCTATATATACATACATATACACATACATATATACATACACACACATATATACATACACACACATATATACATACA